CAAAACCCCAAAACCCCAGTGATGCTTATAGAACTATTAGAAGGTAATACTATTTCATTCCCAAATTAATCTTTGTATTTGTTTATAACAGGATATCATTATATATAGAGAGGTCATTAAATAATGATCATAAATTCTGATTTAACTAGCTCATTAGCAGCTTCTACTATTCCATAAACTCATCCATTGGATCATTATCAAGATTAAATTACTACTGCTATTGTTGTAGTTGCTATTATTGCTGCATTTATTCCTATTCATCATCGAATTACTGTTCATAATCCTACTCAGTAAGTAGTTACTATTATTTTTTAGATGAGATGCTGCTTCTTTTCCTCTGAATGGCTGAGTTCTAAGAGTTGCTTATTCTACCCAGAGTTTTAGTGCTTGATTTATGTTTTATCATGCTTGTATCCATACTTTCATCTTTATTATTAGTGTAGCCATTAGCCTAATTAACCATTGTTATATCATTAGGATTATTGAAAGTATTAATGTCTTTTGATTAAACTTTTTAATTTTCACTATACTAATTTTATATTTTGAGCCTTTTGTCGCTTTAATTGCGATTTACTAATTAGTCCAGTTCTCGATGCTTCCTGCTTGGATGTCTTGTACCATTTTGACTCTCGTTGTTTGAATTTATCAATGCCATATTATTGAGGTTTGTTGGAATTTTATTAGGGGTTAAGGATTAAAGGCTAGTTTCGACTTAAGCTAGATTCTTGTAGGGATTTTGCAAATTAGCCAAGTCTTGATTCCTCATTTAACCAACCTTCAAGTTTTAATACTTCTGTGAATGTCTCTTTCCCGTACTTTTAGGATAATTGTTACTAGCACCCTATGGAGGTTTGCCTTGCTATTGAGCAGTGTTACTGCTATTATTACTTTAAATAGGAGGTAGAATAAAGGAGTTATTAGAATTTTACTGCTAAAACTAATGTTATTCTACAGGATCATTGCTTTCGTGCAATGAGTGCCTTGACTCAGCATTATGCTGCAGGCTTTTATTAACATTTCTTTGCTAATGTTGTACATGCTAATTATTATGATGGTTATTATTCTCTTATATAACGCTTTCTCTGATTTCATTTGTTTTTTCTAATCGCTTTATCTTAATCATCAATCGTTAAATGTCTGTATCCTTAGATTTTAGTTGCAATTTAGTACCTTTGATCATCTCTTTGAGCACCTGCATCTCATTATCTTTTTCTTTCAGCTTATTATCTAGATCTTGCTAGTCTAGTTACTCTTATTTCTTCTTATTTGCTATTATTTACTTTAGCTCTTCTATCTATAATCATTGATTAATTCAATTTAAAATTTATTACCTGTTTATTTAGCTTTGTTATGATATCCTAGAGTTTTTAAATCTCATTGTTTTTGGAATTAATCTTCTCTTCTACTTTAGTCAGCTCCTCATAAAATTGCTTTAGCTTAGACTCTAGCAGATCTTTTTCCTGAAGAGAACGCTTAAATTGCTTCTCTAAGATCTTTTTACTGTCAGATTCCTTTTGTAATTAGACTTCGTGGTCCTTTTTAATTTTAGATATCTCTTCCCTCTTTTGTTCCATAATTTGCTCAATCTGAGCTTTAAGATCTTACAACGCCTTGTCTTGATTAGTATTTTTATCTATTAGCAGCTGATTTTCTCTTCTCATTTTCTTTAGATTTTCAGAGGACTCATCTTCATTTTTCTTCATCATTTCTTCTAAATTCTTGCATTTAGTTTGAAACATATGAATTTTTTCGGCCAAGGTGTTCTTATCGCTAATGACCAAGTTGAACTCCTGCGAAATCTACTGAATCCTAGCCTCTAACTTCGCTTTTTCCTACTCTAAATCTTCAATCTTGATATTTTAATCTGTGAGCATTTACTCGTCTATAGTTTCAATATCGAACTTAACAACTAATAAGTCCTCTATCTCCCTTTCTTGCTTATAGTTATCATACTCAGATTGTAACTGCTAAAGCTATTACTCCAAATTAGAATAGTTACTCCCCATTTCTTATTTCTCAATGGACCATTACTAACTTAAGATATCTTATTTCTATATCAAACCTTCTATCTCTTCTTGCTTAGTCTATCTTATTTCTAGAATTTACTTATTTAGTCCTTCTATATACACATCCTTATCATCTACTTGTTTTTTAAGTTCATCTATAAATGACTCTCTCAATCTGTTCACCTCATCATTATTGTTCCTTAAACTTTGCACTTCTTTGGCAAGTTTTTCAATCTGTGTTTTTTTATCATTCAATTGATCCTCTAGCGCCTTCAAACGCAACTCATAATCTTCCATTTGATCTTTGTACTAAGCATTCTTACTTAGCAGTGAGGCGTTTTCCAGATCCAATGCTTCTAATTTCTTCTCAGATTCTGAAAGTTACTTCTTTTTTGCATCCATTGTCTCAATCCAGGAGCTAATCGCTTCTTCTTAAATCATGATCTTTTTCTTTAATTCGCTAATTGTCTGGTCTTTTATGTCGAGTTCTGACTCAAGTTTCTTGAGCTGTTCAAGAGATGCTTTTAATCCTCTAAGTTCCCTCAACTCATGATCCTATACTACGACTCTATCATTTAAAAGCTCTATCTGCTTATCTCTAGCTTCAATTTCATTTTGCAGATTAGCTGCATTTGTATTTTACTGGGATTATCGCGGCTACCCTCCAGGTGTCTGTATTCTCTTAATCAAGTTTTGCTTGGTTTTAATCTCATTGTTTAGCATTTATAGCAGCTTTTGCTTTTCTTCAATATCGAATCTGATCTGCTTTTGAATCTCCTTTTACTCATTGAATTCTCGTTCACGGTCCTAAAGCTCTGAAAATATTAAATTATCATTCACAGACTAAAAGTAATACCTTTTTATTTTTCCCTTAAATGCTCATAATCAAGTTGAGATTAATTGCTCATTTCTAAGTTTTAAAAAAATAATTTAATTATTGCTTTATAAATTTGTGAATTAGATGAAGCAATAAAATTATAATGCGCTGTTGATATTTTAATCATTAAAGATAAAAAGCATTAATGAGAGTAGCTTCTCAAGTAAACACTAACTCTACAGATAGACCCTCCTCAGTCTCTTCCCAAGTTGAATTGATTCTAGATCACAACTAATTCTTGCAGAATCATAGACTCAGCAACTACAATTCAAAGTCTCCCAGCAAATCTAACCTGAGAGTCATTAACAGCATGATATCTCCTGAAAAGAAGTATATCAATCAGCGACTCAATATCAAGATGTTCTATTAGGAATAGATCAGCATCAAGCCCCCAGAGAACTAGATAGAGGACTAGCAAAGAGTGCAGTCATCTATTAAAGATATTGTGATGAAGTAATTGAAGTCAGAGATGAGTAATTACAGTTCAGACACCATGCCTTACACTGAGACTAAGCCTAGTGATCGAAAGCAGATAATAAACTTAGTTGGGGTAGGACCTGAGAGAAGTGAAACTGCAGACAATCTTCAGAGCAGGAATGATTTTCAGTTGGAATCTAAACTTGATAATGGATTTAAGAATTGCTAGTCAATTGAATCACTCAATTAAAATGGGTCGCAGACTATGTTGATTACAGACAAAATACAGAATAACTCTGTGCAGATATACATCCAAAACAACAGAAAATCTATGCAAACTGATCACAATTTACTGTCAAAGCATAAAGTCAACCTTTCAAGTTCACAGAATAGCAATGACTATGATTAGAATAATCCAAAAATGAATAAAAATCAATAATGCAACACCTCATTCACTAGAAACTAATCAGTTCTGCACAATAATCAAAATCAAAATAAACTGAATTCACAGCTGCTTCCATCAATCAAACTTAACAATAGCTCTTTAGATACGATTCACTCAAGTTAATCTAGGATTGCCAATCAATCCATTTTACATAAATATGTCCTAGATAGCAGTCTCTAATATCCTTTTACCTATGAAAACAATAGCAGCTTCTAATATAATAGCAATTCAATAACCAGAATGGCTGCAGTTCCATCCAAGCTAAGTAAAAGCTTTCTCATTAATAAAAGATCCATGCTTAGAAAGAATTTCGAACGAAAACTTGACCCCATTATACAAAACCCTTACAAATAGATATCCAGTTCATTCGCTGTTGGAAATAGAGATAGATTTGGCTAGCCTTATGTGCCAACGAGGCCATAGGAAATCAAGCCAGGTCCTGGCTATTATAACGTCGGCCAAATCTTAGAAAGACAAGTGAATATAAGTCCATTTCACGGGGTTCAAAAAAAGATCATGTCAAAGGGTAAAATTTCAATACACAAGGCTTAAAATAGTTTATGAGTCATAATACAAGCTTTGCTTGAGATTACTCTCAAGAGCATTGTTGCAATTGTAATATTTGGAGTAATATAATAGTAAGTAATGTTATTTTAAAATAATCTTAACTCAATAAATAATCCTTATTATTCTTGCATGCAGTATGCTTGCTTGATTCTCAATCCTAACACCTAAATGACATTCACTCATTATTTGCCCTTCTTGGTTGGCGATGCAGCCTTAGACTCTGGCTTGGCTAGAGATCTGTAGAGATCATTATTGATCTTCTTCAACTCCTCGATCTCCTTCTTCATCTTCTCTCTTTCCTGCTTCTCATCTTCCAACTGCTTAGCTAGTTTGGTAATTGCTGAGTAGTTTGAAGACTTGTAAGACCTCACACTCTTTCCATCCATCACACTTGCCTAGTCCTCTTGCAATCTATAATCATAATTAAAATCTCTAAATTCTAAATACTGCTATCTGCTGATGTCGCTTCTGTAGTCTTCTGGGTTATTAACTTGATCTTTGGTAGGTGAGAGGTCATTTACCTGGTCAAGCTCCTCAAGTCTGTGCTCGTCATCGTTCTCCTCAATTACTTAAGCTCCAAGCTCTTAACCTAGCTTTTCTAGTTACTTGTCATCCATTTAACTAATCAACTTCATTAAATATCGGTAATCTTACCTAACTAGTCCCTTGATCTTATGTCTATAAGCGGAGCTAGTCTCTGACTTCATATCCAATACCTAAGCTCTCTTTCCTTGATGTGCACTTGTCACTGACTTATATTAAGATTTCTTGCTTTGTCTTGATTCAACATCATCAATAGATGCTCTTCTGCTGACGCCTAGTTTTCCCAGTTAATTGGCATTAAGTTTCTTTCCAGTTTGTTAAGACTGCGCATTTTAAGCAATAGTTTCACCAACGTCTTCATTGAATCTCTGTCTCTTCTTTCTGCCATCATACGTTTTCATCAACTAAGCATCAACTGATTGCTGCATTCCTAACCCACTGCCTCGTGCCCCTGGGTTGGCCAAGTTATTAGCAGCTGCTAGTGCGAATGACTTTCTCTGCGAAGGTGTCATTGACAATGCTCTGGAGTTAGTTTCTCTTTTCTGCACATATCCTGTATAGTCATTGTTGCTGCCCTTCTTTTTAACAACACCTTCAAACCCAGATGCTATATCAATAAGTTTATACTCTGAACTTACATTAAGAAGTAAGCATGGCAAGCTTGTCATAGGTAGTCTGAGAGAAGTCAAGAGGGACATTTGATTTGTGATACTTGAATTCTCTTGGCCTGAGTTGATTGGGATCGCTTACACCAACCTCGTAAAGATTAAATGAGCCATTCTAATTGAGATTAGCCATAGGCCCATAGTTTGACATAAGATCCTGCTGCTTGAAAAAATTGTTCTCAATAAACCTATCATTCATTGCATTAAATCGGGATTGGGTTTAATGGTGGCTTACTTATTTCTAGCGCCGATTTCTCTCTCAACGCGCTGTTGCCAAAAGTAATGCTCTGCTGCGAAACTCATTTTATTTTATTTCGATATTATTAAGAGATCAATCAATTATTAAATTAAGATATCTAGTCATCAATTACAAATCTACTATCTATAAATATTCAAATCATATTATCTAGTTTTTCAATCAGTTGACTTGTCCTCATCGAAATTCTCTGCCCCCACAAACATCTTTAGTAGGTCGCCTTATTCCCCACTTGCTGTTTTTATAGCATGCTTTATCTCATCCATTGGTATTTCCTCATTCTTATCATAGCCAACAGCCTCAAAAATATACTTCGTGAAATACACAGACAATGACTCCATAAACTCATCTCTACTAGAAAACATTTGACTGAGGCAGTTAATTGATATGTTCTGCACCTCATTCCAACTAAATTTTCTATTTTTATCAACGTCAAAAGCATAAAAGAAGATGTCTATCTTCTCAGAGAAACTCTTTGCCAGAATCTGCCTAAGATACTTTAAGAAATCCGCCCATCTAATCTGGTCCTCCTTAATCTCTTCCTTTATGTTTTTGAGAATCTTTTCAGCCACCTCTCTGTTCTCATACTTAATCACAGGGACATTATGATGAAAGATATCAAAATCAACTCCTATAAGATCCCCTATTCTATCGCTTTTCAAATGCTGTCTCTCTGTCTGCTGGATTCTAAGTATGCTCAAGAAATGGCTGTATAAGTTGTATAAATCTCTTCTAGTAAAGCCAGTTTCCTACTCCAGCTGAGGTAAGTTCATTTTAATTAGAGGCTTGAAATTTTATCTGATAACATTCTCAAGTGAGCGCCTTTCCCCAGCAGCCTGAAAAGTGTTCATCTTCAAGTAATCCATAGTATTTTTCTTTTACTGTCTTATAGATTTAGATCTGATAGGATCAAAAGCACTAATATTCAATCTCTTGTTTGTAATCTTTTATGACACTTCGTCTTTCGGTCTACTTTTAACTATATAGTTCAATTCTTAATCTACAAAAGTATTGATCACTTTTTTATTCTTGATATGATCTAAGAACTTGCTTTAAAGATTTACTGATGGAGAGATAGATCGACTGACTCTTTCCTCAACTTGTTCACTTGCATCATTCTCGTTATCCTTATTCAAAACGAAGGTTGACTTATTTTACCTATTAATTTTTGGCAATTATTTAGTCAGAGGTCTAGAAAGTTGAGACTTATTGACTCGTGCCTCAGGAATTTTAAATAACTTACTCTCTAGTTTTTCGATCTTGTCAGGATTTTCAAAATGCTTCTTCATAAAGTTGGCAATGTTGTCCTTATATTCTTGATCTATTTGTTCATTTTAAAAGCTCTCTACAGCTCTTTAATGTCTGTATTTTTCCAGCCTTTTTTTAATTGCAGCTAGTTTCTTCTGCTAAGTAACCTCATTAGGTATAAATGGCTATGAGGTTTTGTTAACAGAAGTATTGTATTTCTGCAAAATAGTTGTCGTTTTATTTTGCAAAGTGAATTCAGCTTAGTGAGGAAAATTAGAAGTCTCTATTGATATAGGTTTTTGGTCTATAGACACATTCATTGGGACAAGAAGGTCTTATGACTTGTGAAGATAATCTTAAGATTGCTGATTTTAGTCTTAATACGCCTAATCCATAATCTATTCATTTGCACTTGGAGGATCATATCTACTTTTATTTTATGAGGATTTTAAGATGCTGAATCTTGCAGGTGAGTAATTACTATTCTTGAATGTCACAAAGTTGTATTGATTATCAGTTAACTCTGTTTTTTTCTTGGAAAATTGCCGCATAATTAAGTTTGAATTTTTCTGGTCTATTTCTTCAAACTCTTTTTTCCTGATTCTCCTCTGGCTAATTGGGGTTTCGAGATATCTAACAAAACTGCTGTGATTCGATTGCATTACTGACTAGTAAAGATCATTCTTAATGATTTTATTCTGCAATACCTTTGAGTCCTTGCTAGGTGCTTTTACTTGAGTTTTAGATAGAATTTCCTGGTACTTATCTTGGAAGTCGTCTCCCTTTTTATCATACTTGACATCGAATGAGATTTGGCCTCGTTTAAGTGATTATTCTATGCATTTATCCAAATATTTGTAATTTAAATTTATAGACTAGTGTCTGCAAATGAATAGTATCTGATCTCCATCTATGATCTAGTTTTTAGAGTCAATTAATGATCCTTGGGACTCATGTATGAATTAATTTATGACATTTAGTAATCCTTACGATTGATTATTCAGAGACTTTTAAATTCTCTCAAGTATTTTAACTTGGAAACTTGACTCGTCGAATTAGTTGATAAATCTGATGAAACTATGCTGGGGAGTCTCAAGTATAACAAGGTTTTATAAATTTGAATGTTACTTATCGCAATAGTTCGATATTACGAGAATGAATGGATTCTCAATGACCTTTTTTGAATTAGTGTTGAACATAAACGAGGACTGATTGGACTAAGCAGAGTCAAAGGACATTCTTTGCTTTCTATATCGGTCCACGAATTAGCGAGCACTTTATTTATTCATATGATTTATCTTCTTCAAGAAAAACCTATTTGATTTCTTTAATTTTTGCTACTAAGTAAAATCTACAGATTGGTTATTGTCTTCTCGAATGCACCGATAATCTTTAAAATCATCTTCTAGGTTAACCTCATCATCGGCATAATCAATTTTCCTTGATTTCTCAACTGATTACCTGACTTAAGAGTTTGAAAAGAAGTAGTCTTTATTGCTACTATAAAAATTGTAACTTGTCATTTTATATTTTTTATTAAAACATTTTTCATCCCAAATTTTAGCATAGAGTTAAACTCTGGGGTTTTGGGGTTTTGGGGTTTTGGGG